TAAACTTTTTACGAAAATAAAATATTGCCTATTTTATGCTCAATTACAAAATTACTGTACACTAATATATACCATAAAACACATATCCAAAATGGTGCTGGTCATTTTTTTCAAATTTTGTAAAAGGTGGCTACATCCTAAAATTCGGTGAGTTGTTTTTACAGAACTTATTGTAGCCTCCTTTAATGCAATTTACTTGTTTCAAATATCTTTCATTATAACTTATCTGGAAAATAAAGTAAATGATTTGATTTTATGTTCAAATTTCAATTTCATAATTTCAATATTAAAAAAATGTTCTATATGTAGCAGCATGTTAAAAAAAATATTTATTACTTAAATTTAAAAAATGTAATTTTTTTTTCTTTTTTTTTTTATACACAATGTTTTAAATGTAGGTTTAATTTTTTAAATGCTTTTAAAATTGTTATGACATTTTATCTTGTTCTATTGAATATGATTCTTTTATTTGCAATATGGTTTTATTGTGTGTTCAACCTTTTGTATTTTCTGTGTGTTGACTTTTATTATTAACTTTTTTCTATTTTACATAGTGTATCAAACAACAAATTTCCAATTGTATGCTTTATATAATTTGGACAATAAAAATTTTTGAAATTTGATTTTTTTTTTAAAACACAAACACAAATTAGAAAAATTTCTACACTGAGTATACAGCAGATAACATAGTACCAAGCACTGAGGTAGTCCCAATTAATGTGAGGGTTTAAATGTTATCAATTTATCAATTGATCAATTTCCTCTTTTAAACTGATCAGAAATGCAATTAGCAGCTTCCCTTAAAACAAAAATAAAATTTTATATTTATTAAAAACAACACCAAATTGAATGAGTTGAGTATAGCCTCGAATTTGAGAAAAAAAAAAACCGACAAATAAGATTACGTCTAAATCAGCTACTACAAACTTCATTAGGAGTGTTTTTTCATAGAGCAATGTAGGGTTCCGGTTACAATTGTTTTTATTATATTTAGTTTGAGAATGCAAGACAGAGGAAAACTCTACAGCTAGGCTCAGCAACGCAACAATTAGGATAGAGGGCGGTAACAGAATAATTCTTGATAGAAGATTTCAAGGTCTAGAGTTTATAGGGAAGCAAAAGAGAATATTCAAAAATGAACAACCTTTTCATTCCTAGGCCTCTATTATTATTATTATTATTTATTATTGAGTATTCGGGGTCACAAATAAATGAGCCTCCTTCATTTAGCATTTACAAAATTAGCCTTCAAATACTTTAAAATACAGCATACTGTTTACAGGATATACAAATTATTCAATCGTCTCTCATTTCACAATGATCACAATATCATGACCACAAAATGCCAGTGATGACTCAACTGCTATAGTACAAACAGAGGTTAGAGGTCATCAGACAGCACATGTCCCTATTGGGCGGTGCTAGTAAAGTTCAATGCAGGATGTTCAGAAAGGAAGAGGTTAATGGAGGAGGATACAGGAAAAACCAATCAAATTCTCTGAGTGTAGTTTATCAATAAGAAATTTTACTGTTGCTAATATATTTACTTCACTGACATCCTCAAATATTTCATTTTCTTGGACAGCTACTGTAAATTAACTTAAGTACAAAATATAATCAGATAAAAAAAAAACCATACCAAAATTGGGCAATTAAGTATTTGAAAAAAATTGAGTGAAAAGGTTTTTAATTTTCTAGCAAACATGGTTTTGTTTTTTTTAAATCATGTGATCACACGTAATATATCTGATAATTTAAATTAGTTTCTGTTAAATGAAAGTAGGTTACTCATGATCAGTCGCTAAGCTCACGTGTGGGCATGCTCTCATTTTATTGTGGCAGTGCATTGCATGGGAGCCATTAGTGGGATAAAGAAGGGTGAGTTGTTTAAGTAATTTCTTGTTGCATTCAGAGTGTATCTATCTCCAGGTTGCAATTTCAATCCTGAAAGGATTTATATACAGTAGCCTTTTTCTATAGCGGCAGTTTGGCGCAGCGGTTGAGGTTCGAACTTTCAATCGTAAGGTCGGGGTTTCGAGTCTCCGCTGTGCAGATTCGCTTGTGTCCTTGGGCAAGGCACTTTAGCTACATTGCTTCAGTCCATCTAGCTGTATCAATGGGTACCAGCAATCTGCTGGGGACTAACCTGCGATGGATTAGTGTCCCGTCCAGGGGGAGTACAACTCTCATCCGCTTCACACTACAGAAACTGGGGATAAGCTCCAGCCCTATGAGCCACAGTGGCTCGGAAAGGATTTAGTAGGTAGTTAGTAACTTATAATCGGTTTGAGTTTTTAAATTTTTATTTAAATACCTCTCTCATTAACTTCTTAAAATGTTTGTATATAATTATCCTGCTACAATAAGGCAAGACATTTTTTATATCTTGTTTCGTCATCTTTTTTCAGATCGTCAGAGGAGGGTGGAAACAAAAAAATTGTTTCTTATTTAGCAAATGGTATTGCCAAAAACATTCAGACGTAGGAAAAAATAAAATCAAATTTTTTTGGTAAACGTAAACAGTGTAGTATTGGGATGGTTAAATGCTTTAAATGTATATAATTAGAATTATATATACATATAATATTTTTGGAGATTTCAAGGCAGCGACAGGCGTAATAAAAAGATAAAATTATATTTTTTCTGAAATTTCCATTTTTTGGCAAAAAATTAAATTATATTTTTATTCAAAATTATCATTATTGGCGGGCAGTGGGTTCTCTAAATAAAGTATAGAAAAGGTCTTGATTACAGTAGAACCCCTCCTTTGCGACACACCTATTCAGGGACACCCCTTAAGGGAACACTTTCCATGAAATGAGGGGCAAAATATTTTTAACACTACAGCCAATCCCTATTAAAGGGACAATCAAATTTATATTTTGACACCTTTAGAGCAATAAACCTAACATCAAACCATAATTTTTTAAATCCTTAGAATAGGCATTGGATGCCCAGTGCCTGTGTTACTTCATATAAATAAAATCTTGTCAATTTTCACCATAACCATGGAGATTTCTTGTTTTGTGCATTTTGATATAGGATTTCTAATCTACCCAGATAGCCTGCACCCTGATTTCTAAAGTCAGTAACATCCATTAATAGTATTCTATCTTGTGCAATAGAAAGCCTAATATTTAAGAAAAGAATATTTGGTCATGAACAATCCACTCGAATAAAGAAACAATATTGGGAACATACACAAATTTTGTAGTTTTAATTACATATCTGTTAATTTCATATTTTAAATGAATTATTTTTTGCATTGCAAATTATTGTTATAAATTAGTTATAATTAAACTGTAACTCATTCTTGGGTCAATTAAAATAAAATTATAAAGAATCTGTCATCATTACACGAAAACATGCAAAAAACCCCTATTAAGGGGACAATTTCATTTTATTGGTTAGTGTCCACTGAATAGGGTACCCCTATTCTGGGGACACTCCTAATAAGGGGACACTTTTTTCGGTTTCCAAGGTGTCCCCTAAATAGGGGTTCTACTGTATTTAGGAAGTTACTTATCTCTTCATAATCATTTCCTTATGTAGGGTAGTATTTCTAACTATTGCATAATTTGAATTGTATCTTCCTTGTTTACCCACTACCTTCTACTGTATACTATAGCTACATTTTGCACTATATGTAATTTGCTCCCATTATTGGGCCACCCCAAAAATAGAATTATTTAGATTATTGTGAACTATTAATGTACTATTTAATCCTTCGAAAATGCAAAGTTCAAACTCTGAAAAACATACGAACAAGGAAATGTGGCAAAGACAAGCCAAACCAGTCACTTGTTGCAAATCGTGTTACAGAGAAAATGGCCAAAACATGCTGGAATGTCAAATTTTAAAAAATCTATTTTATTGCTCTAAACTAACCTTTATATATCTATACATTATCCTATGCTGTTATTTTCCCCATTTTCAGTGTTAAAACAACACTTTTTAAGGATTTAAAGATAGTTTCTGCATGAGAAATGCCTGAAATCATAAACTTTGAAGGCTGATTTCTCATATATTGTTCTTTAAACAGCTGTGTGATTAAACGCTAGTAACTTCATAAGGAAATGTCTGATTTGAATGATTTTTTTACCATTTTATAGCTATTATTTTACTCTCTAACACTGTATTAATAACTCAAAATCGATTTTTGCGACGAGTGACTGGTTTGGCTTGTCTTTGCCACAAATGGTATTTTAGTGATCATATCACAAAAGAGGAAGTTAAAAGGAAGTAATAAATTTATGAATGACAGTGATCAACTCACAGGAAAAGGAAATCTATTGTAATAAAAAGTTAAGAATAAAGGTCTAAAAAAGAGGTTTAATTATATAACCTACATTTTCTATTTCTCATATTTAAAATTACTACTTTTAGGATACATTAGCTTTAGATTTTCTAAAAAAATTTTAAAAAATTCTGATTTTCTCGATCTATTTTAAATTTTTAATAACTGAAATTATGAACAATAAGAATTGAATAGCGCAAGTCTAACTGATGTGAATGAATCTTCACATGATTTGGTTAATGTTGAGATATTCATTAATGGCACACAACAATTTTTGACATGAGGATATCCCCACAGTTGAAATTGGCTGTCTACCAAAACCATAACTTTTATATCTGTCTATTCAGGTTGAAGTAGATGAACATGTGTTACATACGCCTTACAGAACCTTTCTTTAAATTTCTTTAACCAAGTGTTGGTTTTGAAAGTGTTGAGTACTATGTCATGTGCTTACTTGATCAGATACTGTAGTTCAAGTGATTAGAGAATCACAATAATTAGTTCATGTGATTAAAAGAGCCAATCACAATGAATAATCAATTAAATACTGGTCCAGTAGTAAAATCATGTTGGGGTTTTTTTTCTCTTATGACAAGTAGATGCTTAATAGCAATTGTATATCGAGGGCAAATGTAAGTTGTAAATATCAAGAGTATTTTCATTTTTTTTCAATTGTTTGAAATGCAAAGTATCTGGGATCTACCTTTTTCCCTGATGACCATTGGCTGCTTGTGCCGTCCAGAAAATGCTTCTTGACCTGCAAGCTTACCAGCGCCAGCTTGGGTGACATCAAGGTCACCGAGCAGGCTCATTGAAGGCACCGAGTCAACTGCAATCCTTGCTGTATTTGCAACAGAACCACTGTTCCTGCAAACAAAAATTATTTGAGTCCTAAAGATTATTTTAAGGTACTGTAAAGCCTTTTATTTTTGCAGCCCTATATTTTTGCAGCCCTATATTTTTGCGATCTTACAATCTGAAATATTTCGCAACCTTTTATTTTCACAATTTTACAATTTCCAGTCATTCCATTCAGAAACCTACCATTATGTTTTTTAGCCTACAGTATATTATAGCTAGAGCTCTTGATTTTGGTTTTTGAAGTTTTTAGCAATTTCCTACCCTCCCGACTTTTGGACTAGCTTAGGCAGGCCTACTTCAGCTACTCCAGTTTGCCTCTGTGGAGGCTTGACCAAGGTTTTTCAAAGCGACATGTAAGAAATCTTGCAGGCCTAATATTGATATGTTATATAAAAATTGTAATAGTTAATTATCAACTAATGGGAAACAATTTGACTCCTTAAGCTTTATAATGCGGCTTAGTTATCCCATACTTCCATACCGGATTCGCATGGGAAATTCCTGTTCGATGAGGAAACATTCTATAATAATAGGATACAAACCTGAGATCACTGTCTATAACCGTTGGGGCATGACAAACTACTTTTACCGGTGACCGAATAATATCAGTTTTAATGTCAACCTCAGCCATGCTCGGATCTCTTCTACTTCCACTAGCATCCACTAACTGCACTGGAGAAAACACAGCTTCCGAACCCTGGTATCTCGTCTGGAATAATTATCAAATTGTTCATGGATAGAATCGCAAATATTAACTTGTTGCAATGATAGTGAATTTCCGCAAAAACGAAAATGGAAAATGTGAAAAATTTTAAGATTAGAAGTATTTATAATGCATACAATAACAAATACAGTAAAAGGCTATTGGAATTATTTTTAATAATAAAAATAATAAAATTAAAGCAGACATCTTAAATTCAAATCTTTCTTTATGATTCTATATATGTATATATATATGTGTATATATATATATGTGCATATATATATGTGCTCTATGAATTCTCCAGGCCCAACATTTTTGGTTAAAAATATTCTTTGACTTCTCCATGACTGAGAAACCTGATTTTAGCGTGGACAACACATAATAATTTCCGTACACGAGTGTTGCATGCTCTTGTCTGTCTTCAACGCAATTTAACAGGTGACCTAAGAGCACTTTCCACTTCCTGTCTTAACTGTTTTAATCAGGGTTTTAAATTGGGGACACTTGAGAAAGTTGAAAGTTCAGAAAGAAACATCGTTACAGTACTATTAAAAGCATACTAAATCATTTATATTATTTTTATAGAATAATAATCCACAATTAAACAGATCTCAAGAGACAACGTCGGAGAATTAAATTATGACTAAATCATTAACTGCATGATATACCGAAAAACATTTCCGATTATATGTCGGATTAAATCAGTCAGATTGAATTGATTTAAATTTTCACGACATTTTGCAAACATTATATGATGACAAATACAAAAACTAAAAAAAATGAAATATAAAACACTAAATTTATCATCTACAAATATTATATATTTTAAGTTCACATTTTATTTGTAATTTTTTCCAGTTTAATAACTGTCTAATTATTATTTTTTTTATTACTATTTGTTTCTCTCACATTTGGATTGGATTTATTCAGTGTAAACACCAAGGATAGCCCACGAAAGTCTAGAAGAAGACTTATTTCCAGTGGGGCCCTTCTTGTGGTGATTGAGCAGTACACCGGGAGACAATCCCCTACTCTTTTCAGAAGAGTGTACTGCATTCTTTAACATGCACATAGGCCATAATGCACACGGGACCAACGGCCTAAACGTCTCATCCGAAGGATGGTGCGCTATTGTAACTTGCATTTAAGCCCTCTAGCTGAAACACAAGGAGAGGCAGCGATGGGAATAGAACCTGGGACCTAGAGATCTCCACGGTTCAGAGCACACACAGTGGTTACCACCAGATTAGCCGACTGAGCTAAGCTGCTCTCAAAGCAGAGAGAGTGTACAAAGGAAAAAGGGGAAAAAAAGGGACTCGCATCCATGTAGCCAAAGGCTCCTATGCAAAACAGAGACAAAAGACAGCACAACTTTTTTTGGAAAATTAAACTTGGAGTAGAAATCTGGATTTTATCATTGAATTGGAAGGTACTAGTCCACCATCCTTTAACACAAAATTGGGTCACAGTCGAGGGAAATGATTTATACATGCGATCCAGAAAATGAGAGCAGCTTAGCTCAGTCGGCTAATCTGGTGGTAGCCGCTGTGTGTGCGCTGAACCGAGGAGATCTCTAGGTCCCCAGTTCTATTACCATCGCTGCCTCTCCTTGTGTTTCAGCTGGAGGGCTGAAATACTAGTTAATACAATAGCGTACCTTCTTTCGGATGAGACGTTTAAGCCGTTGGTCCTGTGTGCATTTATGGCCCATGAGCACGTTAAAGAATGCAGTACACTCTTCGGAAAAGAGATGGGGTACTGCTCAATCACCACCAGAAGGACCCCACTGGAAATAAGTCTTCTTCTAGACTTTCGTGGGCTAACCTTGGTGTTTACACAGAATAAATCCAAATCCAAACAATAGCAAGCATGCTAGCCTAGGGTGTCCTTATAGCTAATAAACTACAATAATTCATTATTATGCAAACTGACCTGGAAAGTGATTTCAGGGTCGGAATCAGACAAGTCCAATGTATGAGTAGGCCTAGGTTTCGAAGGGGAGGAAGGCGTCATGTTCTGGCTGGATGAAGTGAAGTACCTGCCACTAGGAAACCTTGTAAAAAATTATTCAGTAGAAAGCTACAAGTTAATATCTGAAAAATCTTTTTCTAGTACATACTCTACTATATTTTTTAAATAGTTCACATACTATAACAATAATGTAGGATTATATGTGTTTTTCCAATTTCAGTTGCTACATGTTAATTTATGCATAATTATACTCATTTCCCAGTAATCAAAAATTGTAAACAAATCACACCAATTAAACCTGAGGACTTCCATACTTTTTGTTCGTTAGTCAGGGAAACCTTCAGTGAGGATCCATTTGCAAGGTGCTAATAGTGATTTTATGTATTAAAACACTTGCAAGTTTTAACAATCAAATAATAAAAAAAAAGTGAAGACTGTATGATAAGGAATTAGCCAATTACTTTCTAGGATTACTAGCCACATCGTTAGATGTTCTGGACAAGTTGGATAGACTGCTTAATATCTGCCTTGGAGGGGTACCAATAGTCATAATTGGTACAGCGCCCTCATGAGGCAAGATGACAGAAGCATCACCTGTAGAAACAATAACAAAACATTAATAAATACAAAATGTAGTATTTAATGCATCTAATTAAATGAACGTTACTAATAAACGACATGTTTCGACATATCAGACAATGTTGCTATGCTTCTTCTGGTTAATATACTACCGGTTAGGCAATAGTAAGGTGAAGTCATGTATATTAAAGCTGAATATTGTGATACATTACATTATGGAAGAGTAATATTGCAATGAGTTGTTTAAGTGAAGGATTTCCCCAAGAAATGTAGATGGCTTCTTTAATCTTCAGTTGGTAATTATTGTATTGTATGCAAAAATCAAGAATAGTGAAACAATTTGAATTACATGTAGTACGGCAGCTTAGGGCCACATTTGGACTTAATGTGGACGTTCCGGACAAAAGCACCAATTTTTTTTTACATGCTCCTTATGGTCATAGCATTCAATTTTTGGTAGGAACCACCTCATCCGAGGTCATTATGACGGCCATCTTGGATTTGGGTGCCCCCGACGAGGTGTCAGATTTCCCTGATGAAAGCAAAGTGGGTGTGGTTGAGCTTCGATTAATAGGTTTCGAAAGTGGTCCTGGGGGCGAGGCTCCCGAAAATTTCAACAATTTAGGGGTTGCAAAGGCTTATTTAATCGATTTTAGAGTCTACTAATATGTAAAAAATACATATAATATTTTTTTTCTCCCCGACGAATTGTGCTTTTTCTCCCCAACGGGGGAGGGGGGAGTGGCAGCTCTCCCCGACGGGGGACCCTGGACCCCCGCTTGCACCACCCCTCGTCATAGTAGGGATTTTTTTTTTATGAAAAAAGTGAAAATCGATCAGTTTAATTGATTAATAAGTACATCTAGCAGTTATTATGTAGGTCTACCGGTATCTAATAAAAATTGCTGATTTTCCTTGGCGTGTGCCATACCACCCTGACTGGAGCCGTTGTAGGGCCTGAGTTGAACCCCTGTAGAAACGTACAGTAGCTTATTCTAATATTGACCCCCCACCCGAAGTTGA